TGGAGAGGGAAAACGCCCGTCCCACAGTCCTTAGGAGTGGAGCTTGAAGTCAGTTTGGTCATCAAAAGGAAACTGGGGCTGCACACAGTGGCCCACGCCTGTAATCCTAGCACTTTGGGAAGCCGAGGCGGGTGGATCACCTGAGGTCAGCAGTTCGAGATCAGCCTGGCTAACATGGTGAAACCTCATCTCTACTAAAAATTTAAAAAAAAAAAAAAAAAAAAAAAAAAAAAAAAAAAGAGCCAGGCGTGGTAGCAGGTGCCTGTAATCCCAGCTACTCGGGAGGCTGAGGCAGCAGAATCCCTTGAACCTGGGAGGCGGAGGTTGCAGTGAGCCGAGATCACACTACTGCACTCCAGCCTAGGCAACAGTGTGAGACTCTGTCTCAAAAAAACAAAAAACCCACAAAAATCAGCTGGGTCTGGTGATGGGCACCTGTAATCCCAGCTACTCAGGAGGCTGAAGCAGGAGAATAGCTTGAACTCGGGAGGCAGAGGTTGTAGTGAGCTGCTGCCCTCCAGCCTGGGTGACAGAGTGACGCTCTGTCTCAAAGAAATTAAAAAGAAAAAGTAAGAGAACTGGGCCTGTTTTGACCTCAAGCTGGAGAAATGTTGTTAGATGTATTTATGAAACATGCAGGCAGCAAACAGACCTGGACGCATCTCACTTCTCTGGGCTTGAGGTCAGGGGGTTTCTGTGCATTATGATGAAAATGCAGGAGTTTCCCTCTGTGCCTGCTGCCTTTGTGAAATGGTGCCCTGTGTGTTCTGCAGAGGCGCAGAGTGGAGGGGAGTGTTCACTGCCCCGCCTTTGGGGTCCAGCAGAGGTCCAAATCCCACGTCTTACACACTGTAGGACCTTAGACAGGGTTGTGGGACTGAAGCTTCTCTGAGGCTCAGTTTACCATCTGCTAAGTGGACATAATACTAGGGATTTTACAGAGCTGTGGGGGGATCAAAAGAGAAAGTCTGTAAAATACGTAACAGTGCATGACATATACAATACAGACTTGATATGACAGCTAAATAATACATCTTTATGTATTGAATATCATTCCATCTATGGATTGTCGATCTCCTAAGAATACATTGACCTCTTTCTGTCCTTAATTTAATTGGAAAAAAGGTTGATTTGATGCATGAGCCAAGGAATGGTTTTAGGAAAATAAACTTCTGGAAAATAAGCAGAACCTGAAAGCTACATTTGGTTAAAATGTCCAGTCAGCAAAGCAGTAAGTAAACACCTAAAAGTAATTTCCCCCTTTATACAGCATTTTGACTTCTTGCATTTATTTGCTATTTTTAATCTGGTGGCAATTTCTTCGCCAATACAACAAATTGGGCTTCCTTATTGAAAGATGGGGCCTTGTAAGTACTAGGTGGGCTCTTTGGAGCACCCCCAGCCATGTGGCATCACCCCCTGCCCCGCCACACACACACACACACACACACACACACACCCCCCCCATACACGGTGGCCTGTCCATCACGCCACCAAGCAATTCTCTGATCTCAGGGTGCAATGAATAAAGCCTCTTCCTCTGAGCCCCCTTCCTTCTGCAGGGTGCGGTCTGGGGCCCTGTGTCCCTATCGTTCTGTCTGCAGGGGGTGTAAGAGACAGGTTGCCCAGGCCTCTTGATGATGTGCCGCTGTGGCCACTACAGTCCCCTGCAGAGACCCGCCGCAGTCCTAGGATGCCTGATCTTGTGTACTCCCTACCGAAATTAGATCGTCTAAGTTAGCAGAGTTGGTGTTTATCAAGAGTGCTGAGGCTTTTGGGCAACTAGTGGGGTTTGTACCGTATATTTCAGCCAGTAAGGAAGAATTGGAATGATGGCTTTTTTTTTTCCTTTTAACTGAGATAAAACTATATACCATAAATTTCACCATCTTAAAGTATACAACTCTGCAGGTTTTAGTATATTCACAAAGTTGTACAACCATCACCACTATCTAATTCCAGAACATTTTCATCCTTTTTTTTTTTTTGAGACAGCCTTGCTTCTGTCACTAAAACTGGAGTGCAGTTGCACAATCTCGGCTCACTGCAACCTCCACCTTCCAGGTTCAAGTGATTCTCCTGCCTCAACCCCCAAAGTAGCTGGGACTACAGGCATGCACCACCATGCCAGGCTAATTTTTGTAAATTTAGTAGAGATGGGGTTTCAACATGTTGGCCAGGCTGGTCTCAAACTCCTGACTTCAGGTGATCCACCCATCTCTGCCTCTGGAAGTGCTGGGATTACAGCCATCGTGCCCAGCCAGAACATTTTCATCCTTTAATTAATTTATTTTTAATGTTTTAAATTAATTGGTTAATTTTTAGAGACAGGATCTCCCTCTGTTGTCCAGGTTGAAGTGCACTGGTATGATCTTGGCTCATTGCAGCCTCAGACTCCTGCCTCAAGTGATCCTCCTGCCTTAAGCGATCCTCCTGCCTCAGCCTCCCAAGTAGCTGGGACTACAGGTGTGCACCACCATGTCCAGCTACTTTTAAAATTTTTTGTAGAGCTGGGGTCTCACTATGTTGCCCTGGCTGATCTTAAGCTCATCCTCCTTTTTAAATTCTCACTTTTGAACAAGATGAAACCATGGGCTCCCTGGAGATCTACGCTCCTTGGGTTCCTTGCTGGGTTTTCCCATTGGCTTGGATCGAGATGTTTCTTTCCCAAGCACTGTATTGAGTTCATTTTTCTCATCCGAGGTGAAAAGGTAATCTCAGGGAGGGGGGCCAGCAGGGCATGGTGGCTCACGCCTGTAATTCCAGCACTTCGGGAGGCTGAGGCGGGTGGATCACTTGTGGTCAGGAGGTCGAGACCAGCCCGGCCAACATGGTGAAACCCCATCTCTAGTAGAAATACAGAAATTAGCCGGGAATGATGGCAGGTGCCTGTAGTTCCAGCTACTCATGAGGCTGGGGCAGGAGAATCGTCTGAACGCAGGAGGCGGAGGTTGTAGTGAGCTGAGATCATGCCACTGCACTCCAGCCTGGGTGACAGAGACTCCATCTCAAAAAAAAAAAAAAAAAAAAAAAAAAAAGGTTGGGGCAGGCCGAGCAGGTAGTCACCACCACGTCTGAGCCTCTGGGCCTCTGTGGTTAAATGCAGGACTCCAGGAAAGGCTTCCTGAGGGAGCCTTGTGCACCGTTTCTGGGGTTGTGGGCGTGCTGTGCCAGGGATAGACAGCGGAGGCTTCTCCGTGCTATCTCTGCGGTTCCCTTTCTGCAAAGCCCTCTTGGCTGTGGCCTGTACGTTAAAGGCGTAGGTTAGAGATGTGGCTATCTTGGTGTTGGGTGGATTTTAGAGGAGATATAGGTGGGTTCGGTGTCCTCAGCCTGGCAGGGCTGGGGAGAAGTGACACAGAGTTTGGCAGACAGTGAGGCCTTTGTAAAACATTCTTTGTCGACACAAAAATGTTTGAAGAAAAAAAAAATGAGGCCTAGACTCGGTGTGGCCTCTCTGGATGGAAAAGTGGATAAGAATCAGGTTATTTCAATCCTCTAGCTGGCAGTCTGGTGTCTCTAAAGCAGATTCATCCTACTGTTGGCTGCCCAGGTCCAGGCATTTTGGTGGCTCTGAAAAGAAAGCAAGAAAAAAAGAGCCCACAAGGGTGGGGACCTCCAGGGGAATGCTCCCAGGTCTGTCTGCAAGGAACAGAGAACCAATGAGAACCAGTGTTCCCTCAAAGCCTGGAACACAACAGGTGCTTCATAGAGATGTTTTAGAAGAGCGACTGCACACGTGAGAGGGCCTACTGTGTGCAGCCACTCTGTCTTGCACAATCCTTATCATCACCCTAGGGGTAGGGAGGTGTGCATTCATTTCATTCATTCATTCATTCATTCATTCATTCATTCATTCATTCCACAATACTTATTGCATCCATACTAGGAGCCTGATGCTGTCGGTGTACATGAGGACACATGCTCGGCATGGATAAGCAATTTGCAAAGTTGTGGCAGGGTGGCAGGTACATGAGGAGTGAGGGCTTAGAGAACCGACGGGCGCCACCTTGGGTCGTGGGTCCACCCCGCTCTCCTCCCTGCGTTGGTTGGCCAACCCAGTCTTACCTTTCAGGTCCTAATTTCCTCACCTGTAAATGCAGCAGTCCTAGGACTTATCTCAAAGGGCTTTTTGAAGATTGAATGAGATTACTTGGGGGTGCAGGGAGGGTTTGGGAGACGCTGGCACATTGCCTGAGGCCATGTAGTAAGTCAAGGTTGGAACCCACTTTTGTCTGATCACAAAAGCAGACCTCGGCCAGGCGTGGTGGTTCACATCTGTAATCCCAGCACTTTGGGAGACCGAGGCGGGTGGATCACCTGAGGTCAGGAGTTTGAGAACAGCCTGACCAATTTGGTGAAACCCTGTCTCTACAAAAATTAGCTGGGCATGGTGGTGGGCGCCTGTAATCCCAGCTTCTCGGGAGGCTGAGGCAGGAGAATCACTTGAACCCGGGACGTGGAGGTTGCAGTGAGCCAAGATCCGGCCATTGCACTCCAGCCTGGGCAGCAAAAGCAAAACTGTGTCTCAAAAAAAAAAAAAAAAAAAAAAGCAGACCTCTCCCTTGCCATGGGCTGCCTCTAGGACCCATCTGCCTCCTTTTATCCCTCTGAGTCTTTGAGGATCTGAGACGGCTTTCATCTACCTGCCCCATGGTGACAGGCACCCTGGACTGAGATGGGTGTGGAATTGCCCCGCAGCAACAGGTGTAGGAAAAGTAGGCCTGACCTGTAGCCATCCACCTGCACCTGGACGTTCTCACCTGCTGGCTGGCGCACTGCTTCTCTAGGACTGTCCTAGAATCCCGGAGGAGTTTGGAAAACATGGGCTCATCACAGACACCTGTGAGAATGGGTTCGCCGCCCCTGCCCTGTGAGAATGGGGGAAGGTCACCCCTGGCCTCCTCTCAGGCCCCTGAGAGTGCTCAAATGTGATTATGCACCTGGGTAGCATTCGCTTCCCTGTCATCCTCCTAAAGCATCGCCTTCTCCCAGTGCAGGAGGAGTGAGTCTCCCGTTCTCACCCGGGGAGCGGTTGCCTCGTGAGTCCGAAGAGAATCAGCTCTTTCGTTTTGCGCAGGTGGAGATCTCGGGGGCCCAGTTTGGAGTCCTGCAAACCGTGAGTGTGCGAGGAGGGCTTGTTTCTGATGAAACCATTTCTGTCCCGTAACAACCCTGAGGGCAGAACCCCCTACAAAGGGCGCAGAGAGATCTGCTGCCCGCTTGATACTGGGGTGCGGTGGTCCTGGGGACAGCTTGTCCTGGGGGCAGTTTGTCCTGGAAGGGCCCTGGGGCGCACTGGCTGGGATCTGTAATGTTTGGTGCAGGAGGGTGGGTGGGGAGCCCCTTCTCCATGGCAGCGGGAGGTCTTCAGCGCTGCCCCTGCCAGCGCCTCCCTGCCTACCCCAAGGGCGCCCCACCGCGCGCCCAGAGCAGCTTGGAAACTGGGAAATGCAGGGAGCGTGCCTGGGGGCTGCCTTATGCTCCCCGCGGCAGCTCCGCGCTCAGGACTTTGCGTCTCCAGGAACCTTTAAGGCCGGTGCTGGGGGCTGAGCCCCGACCCCTCATCTGAGCCAAGCCCTGCCCCACGCAAGGTCCCCAGCCTGGCGCACCCGGCTCCCCAGCGCCGCGCCCCGGCCGTGTCCCTTCCCACCCCAGCCCCCCGGGACCCGAGAGCCGTGGAGGGCCAAGACTCGTGCCCCGAGGCACGCCAAGCCAAGTCACCCCTGCAGCCCGCGGCGCCGGAACTTGGGGGCGCGGTGAGTGGGGGCAGGGCGCCGGGCCGGCGGGCGGTGGCTGTGGCTGGGTGCCGGTTCCTGGCTTTAGAAGTCCTTTCGCATCTTGTTGAATCCGGGGCTGCATTGGCCCTCCGAGCTCTCCTGACTGGCAACGTCGCAGAGACAACAGGTCCAGACCCGGGACATTTCCCACACCCGCGTCCAGGACGTGGGTTTCTTCCCTCTTCCAGGGCAGAGGCCCTCGGACTGGGCGTCGCGGCGAGCCCCCAGTGGTTTTTGTTTGCTTTTTTACCGTCCCCCCCCCACCCCGCCCCGGCTCCACCCGGGCCTTGGTCCCACCGCGAAGGAGCCAGGAGTCCGCGGAAGGGTTGCGATGGCCGGAGAGTCGGGGACCTCGGCTCCGGGTAGGCGCGCCCCGGGACCCAGCAGCGGCGTGGGCGAGGGGCGCTGCGCAAACTAAGCGCTTTTGCTGGGGAAACGCCAGCCCAGGCTGGCAGTGGCGGTGAAGGGGATGCGGACCAGGACCCCGTGCCCGGCGGGACTGGCCACGCAGCGGTCCCCGCGCCGCCCCCCTGCGGTGCGCACCGCATCTGCGCCCTAGGCCAAGGCCAGGCTCGGACCCCTCCCCCGCACCGACGTGATTGGGATCGCGCGGTGCTGGCGCCGCCCTCATGCGCTCTGCCTGGCCCCTACCTGGTCCCCTTTCCTTTTCAGGTGGAGGAGATGCCGCCGTCCCGTCGGTCTGGGACGAGCCCAGCTCCCCGGATCCCGGGCTGGAGAGACGCGTCGCGGCCCCGGGGCCTGGTGGCACGGGCAGGAAGGAGGACCCGGCAGCGGGCTCTGCCTGGGCTTGCCTGGGCTTGTTCCGAGCCGGGCTGCTTCTTGGTGACCGCGCAGATCGGGGGCATTTGGAGATTTTGCGGGAGTCCTGCAGCCAAGCTCCGGGGCAGGAGAGGCCTGGAAACCTGCACTACCTGCTCGCCCCGTCCCAGCGTGCACCCAGGTAAACGCTTGTGTTTCTCAGTCCGTGCAAAAGTTTGCAAAGAAGGAGGCGGGAACTAGACCAACAACGTTAATAATCATAGTCATAATAATGAAAACCCTGTTCAATTGTGTAGCCTCCATAAGGGGAAGACTTTCCAAGAAGCAACAAAATGTTCTTTGATTTCATAATCTCTAGGGAGAAAGGATTCCTTTTTTGGGGTTTTGCTCGGCTACTTCTTTCTTCCCTCCTCGATCTCCAGCGTGGTGCGAGGAAGGCCGACTGGTCCACGGGTGGAAAATGGGGACCCTGGCCCTTCTGCGCCGCTGGCCACGGTGAGATTGCAGCAAATGCTCAACCTCCCCAGTTCCTCTCCTCACCTGGAAAGTGGAAGGATTGATACTAGCCACCCACGGCCGTAAAAAACTCGCAAGAAAGGGAAAGGAAAAGTGCTTCTGTCACTAAAGTAGCGTTGTCTAAGAGGTCAAGGCTTTGGAAGACTTGCTCTAGAAGAGGAGAACGGGAGAGGGGCCTTCAGCGAACCTGGCCCCGAGGTGAACGCGCGCGCCCCCTGCTGGCTGGAGCCCTGTCCAGCCTGGGAGCCGCCAGTGGGGAAGGAGACTTGCAGGGAGGTGGTCCCTGGAGTTCCCTGCTCCTAGCCTGGAGCAGCAGGTGCCACTGCTCCTGAGGTCCCCTCTCTCAGGTTACGTGGATGGGGCCTGTAGTACCGACAGGGCACATGCTTCAGCGCCTGTTACTGTGTCAGGTGGGAGATAGGAGCTAGGCTCTGCAGAAGGTTCCAGAGCCTGGGCCTTCCTGTTGCATCCATACTAGGCTCCTGGAGCCCAGGGGTGGCTGGGCTCTCTGCATACGTGCATGTGAAACTCTAGCAGATGCCAGCTCACGTTGAGGGGGCAAAACGGCCCACTGCAGTTATGTTAGCCAGTTCTGCCTCTGCCCAGTTCTGAGATATCTTTGGGACAAATGGCCACTCCCCTGAGCCCGTGTATCTTCCTGCATAAGCCACAAATGCTGTGCAGTCACAGCTGAGGAAGAGGGGAGGTGCCTGTACTTGCCAACATTCCCCTTGAAGGACTATCCAGGAGCAGAGGGAGCAGCTGGAGGCAGCATCAGTTGGTATCCTGAGCCCAGTGGCATCTATTGCCACATGGGTTAGTGGCCTGTCTCCTGAGCTTCCCCAAGCTGGCCAAGACTGTCCAGGACTGTCCTGCTCTCCCCTCCCAATCTAGCTTTCTCTTGGGCCTCCAGGATCCCTTGGCTAGCTGGCATGGTGGCATGAGGACTGCACTTTTACACCCCACCCCTGCCCTTGGCACGCATCGCAAATCAATAATGCTAAACCTAGACAGGCCCCCAGGTCTTTCTCATCATAGCATCCATGCAGTGCTTCCCATTGATTATGTCACCCAATTGCCACCCCAGCCCTACACCTGCCCTTGTAACTGGTCCCTGGGCTGGGGGATGTAGGAGGACGCAAGGATGAACAAGATGCTGCCCTTGGTTATAGGACACACTACCTCCGGCTAGAGGTGATCAGATCTATGCATAAGAAGATAACTAGGCAGGACTCATTCATTCATGCGACAAATATTTACAGAGTCCTTGCTATATGCAATGAGTCATGGAGGAGAAACCTACAGAAGGATGAGGGGATGGCTCTTCAGGCAGAAGGGTTAGTAAGTGCAAAGGCCGTGTGTTCAGTGCGTTGGAGAAATTTCAAGAAAGCCGGTGAGACTGAAGATCAGCTCATGTGATACTCGGTAACGAATATCACATGAAAACAAGGAAGTTTTCTTGTCTACCCCTGAAATTTGCCTTGGTTGGCAGATCCTTCCTTCCCAGACAGCACAAATCAGTACTGCAGCTACAGCTGTCTGTCTGACATATTTGTAAGAATGAACTGTTTAGTGCAGGCTCTGGGAGGCAGTGCCATGCAGGTCACTGATATACCTGGTGCCAATCGTTTTTCTCCATTCGTAAGGCACCTCAGGACCCCACTGGGGCCCCAGTGTTCCAGTAAGGATATGGGTTTTGAGTTAAGGACCCGCCTTCCGGCTCCATCTCTGTCACTAGCTGTGCTAATTTGGAAATAGGACTTCCTTTCCTGGCTTTGGTTCCTCATCTCTAAAAATTGCCCTTATGTTAGGACCTACTTGGTAGAGGCATGGGATAAAATGATTAGATAAGGTGCATAAACCAGGGAGCAGGGTGCTGTGGCAACCATTAGGTACCATCAGTGATAAAGCACTTTGCTTTCATGGATATTTTATATGTTCACTAAATCAGAACTTTCCTCTATGCTCATGTAGTCTAGTGAGGTCTGGGGAGTTTCTTGTTTGATTTTTGCATTGCAAATATTGCTCTCTTCCCCTCCCTAAAAAACCCACTGCTTTTTTTTTTTTTTTTTTTTTTTTTGAGACAAGGTCTCACTCTGTCACCCAGGCTGGAGTACAGTGGCACAACCATAGCTCACTGGAACCTTGAACTCCTGAGCTCAAGCGATCCTCCCACCTCAGCATCCTGAGTAGCTAGCACTACGGGCATGTGTCACCACACCCAGCTAATTTTTAAATTTTCTGTTGAGATGGGGTCTTACCATGTTTCCCAGGTTGGTCTCAACCTCCTGGGCTCAAGTGATCCTCCCAACCCAGCCTCCCAAAGTGCTGGGATTACAGGTGTGAGCCACCATGCCCAGCCTACATTTTTTTTTTCATTAACTAGTATTGCAAATATTTAAGTAGAGTAAAATGCCTTGAGTTGATGCCAAAAGGAAAAATAAGGGTCTATAAGGGGATCCATTCTGACTGAGGCATGACACGGTTTGAGTACACCCTCTCCTGTGTCCCTGGCTGTGGGTTACCGCACCTGGGGCAGGTAGGGGCACCTGGGGAAAGCTTGGCAGAAACTCCTGCCTCTCCCACTGGCAGAGCTTTTGACCCACCAGGCTCACCCCAGGGTCCCGCTCTGACCTCTGTGGCGCCAGGTGGCTCTTACTCTGTCCTGTCATTTGGGGCCCTCAGCCATCCCACCTCACCCCGCACGGTCCCAGCAGCTCCTGCCCGATTCCCATGCCTCCTCTGGACAGAGAGTTCACCCTCCTCTTGCCAGATCAGTAACTCCTTATGATGAAAGTGTTTTCCATACTCAGTCAATAGGACAGTGGGGGCAGCAAGGGAGGGTCCACCAGAGGAGACAGAACCGGCTTGACAGTGGTGGGGGTTGGGGATGTCTGTTGATTTGTTGAACCAAATTGATTCCTAATCCTGGCATTAAACATCCTCCAAGGCTGTCACCTCATCTCAAAACAAGATTAATTAAAATGGACTTGAATTGAAAGTGGGTAAGACTACTGTCGCTATCACCCCCTGTTACTCTGCAATCCACCACTAGTGAGGGGTGAAGCGAGTTTAAAATCCTGGGCCACATGGTCAACACTGATCAGTCCTCGTCCATGATCACCACAAGGAGAGTGGTGGTGAACTGGTTTCCCAAACCCCAAAGCAAATAGAAAGCCCTCACCTCCAGGGCTGGGTGCGGTGACTCACACCTGTAATCCCAGCACCTTGGGGTGCTGCGGCGGGTGGATCACTTGAGGCCAGGAGTTCGAGACCAGCCTGGACAACATGGTGAAACCCCTGTCTCTAGTAAAAATACAAAAATTAGCTGGGCGTTGTGGTGTGTGCCTGTAATCCTAGCTACTCGGGAGGCTGAGGCAGAAGAATCGCTTGAACCCAGAGGCAGAGGTTGCAGTGAGCAGAGATCATGCCACTGCACTCCAGCCTGGGTGACAGAGTGAGACCGTGTCTGAAAGAAAAACACAAAAAGAAATCCCTCACCTCCAGCCTGAAAGACAGAGAAATAGTTCTTGATAATTTGCTGAGAAAAAAAACATTGTTGAATTTGTCACAACCTGGCCACCACCAGCCACCCCCTGCCCTGGACACCCAGCCTCATAGTGCTGGATGGGAGGTAGGGAGACCCTGCTGGCGTTGGAGGACAGCTGCGGTGGCCTTTCAGGGAGAAGGTGAGACAGGCCCAAAGTAATGCAATCGAGCCTCCTTACCTGGGGGTTCCACGTCGGCTGATTCAGCCAGCCTAGGGTCCAAAATGTTCGAGAAAGCAAAAATAAATAATAATAAAACAATAAAAAATAATATAAATGGGCTGGCTGTGGTGGCTAATGCCTCTAATCCCAGCACTTTGGAGGCCAAGACTGGAGGATTGCTTGAGCTCAGGAGTTGGAGTCCAGTCTGAGCAACATAGCAAGACCCTGTGTATTAAAAAAAAAAATAATAGTACAAATTAAAAAACCATGCAGTGTAATAACTATTTACATGGCATTTATGTGGTATTAGATATTACAAGTACTCTAGAAATGATTTAAAGTATGTGGAAAGGCCAGGAGCAGTGGCTCACGCCTATAATCCCAGCACTTTGAGAGGCCAAGATGGGTGGATCACCTGAGGTCAGGAGTTCAAGACCAGCCTGCCCAACATGGTGAAACCCCATCTCTACTAAAAATGCAAAAACCAGGTGTGGTGGCAGGTGCCTGTAATCCCAGCTACTCGGGAGGCTTAGGTGGGAGAATCACTTGAACCTGGGAGGCGGAGGTTGCAGTGAGCTGAGATCGCACCATTGCACTCCAGCCTAGGTGACAAGAGCAAAACCGCATCTCAAAATAAAGATGGTGGCCCGTGCCTGTAATCCCAGCTACTCAGGAAGCTGAGGCAGGAGAATCGCCTGAACCCCGTAGGTAGAGGTTGCAGTGACCTGAGATTGCACCACTGGAAGTAACAGAGTAAGATGTGTGTGGAGGGTGTGTGTAGGTTATATACAAATACCACACAATTGTATAAAAGGGGCTTGAGCATCCTCAGATTTTCGTATCCACAGGGGTCCTGGGACCAATGCCCCTGGGACATGGAGAGACAACTGTATTTCAGACCAGGTATAATTCTTGTTTGGCCCCTTCTCTTTTGGTCTCAGGCATAACACTGCCCGCTGTCCCACAGCTCTGAGCCTACACTGTGGGGCCTGGTAACTCTCCAGAACCCCTCAACTTTGACACTTAACAAGGACTGTCCTTTCCCTTCAAATGCTGTTGAACCCTAAAATACTTCAAAACTTTCATTCCCCTAGAGCCACTTATAAGCCACATCATTCCACACTGAATTTTTTTAAAAACAGCAAACGCTTCCCTGCCTCTCATTCTCTCCCCATTCGTAAAGAATCAAACCTTCTCCAAATGCTGCCAGATACACATGCTTTGATGGCACACACAGCACTCATTATGATCATTTAAGTGAATTATTTCCAGTTAAGCCCAATTACCATACAAGAGGCTCACACTTGTGCTTGTCCTTAAATGTGTGTCAAATTAACTTTGTTAGAGGTTGTTTTTAAGGCAGTGGAGAAATATAAAGAACATTGTCGGGGAGTTAGTTGGTCCTTGATTTTTGTTTTTGTTTTTTTTTTTTTGAGACAGGGTCTCCCTCTGTTGCCCAGACTGGAGTGCCGTGGTGCGATCTCGGCTCACTGCAGCCTTGACATCCCCTGGCTCAAGTGATCCTCCCACCTCAGCCTTCCAAGTAGCTGGGACTTTACATGTGCACCACACCCAACTAATTTTTAAAATTTTTTGTAGGGACAGTGTCTCATTATGTTGCTCAGGCTGGTCCTCATTTTACCCCTTCATTATCTCAGTGGTGCATGACCAGAATATAACACCTCTCAATTCATTTTCTTTTTTTTTAAATAAGAAAATAAAATAATTTTAGGCCAGGTGCTGTGGCTTACATCTGTAATCCCAGAACTTTGGGAGGCCAACACGGGTGGATCACTTCAGGTCAGGAGTTCCAGACCAGCCTGGGCAACATGGTGAAACCGTGTCTCTATTAAAAATATAAAAATTAACCAGGTGTGGTGGCATGCACCTGTAATCCCAGCTACTCAGGAGGCTGAGGCAGGAGAATCACTTGAACCCAGGAGGCAGAGGTTGCAGTGAACCGAGACCACACCACTGCACTCCAGCCGGGGCGACAGAGTGAGATTTCGTCTAAAAAAAAAAAATTTTTTTTTCTTTTTTCTTTTTTTTTTAACAGGTGGCATCTCACCCTGTCACCCAGGCTGGTCTCAAATTCCTGGCCTTAAGCAGTCCTCCTGCCTCAGCTCAATCCATTTCCTTATCCTAAAATAAATCATTCCTGTCCTGCCTACCTCCCAGAGTCGCTAGGAGGATCACACAAGGTGGGTTCTTATTCCCAAATCCTCCCTGATACCCCTCATGTTCAAAGTTCTGTTCTCCAGGTACAATAGCTAGACAGCTCATTACCACCCTGATGGTCTTTACAGTCTGGTCAGGACAACAGAAGGTAAATAACTAATGCACAAATAGCCAACATTGATTGAACACTCGCAGTATGCCCAGCCCTTACTGTAAAGTGCTAATAAGCAGTTTACACATATTACCTTATTTCATCCCTATACCAGCCCTGTGAGGTGACTGCTATTGTTCCCATGCTTACCCATAGAAAACTGAGGCTTACAGGGTTATGTTGATGGATACGTGTGTGATCATGGTAGAGCCTGGCTTGAACATGTGTAGTATGACCCAGAGTCTGTGGACGTGATCACTCGGCTTCTGTCAAGGTGCAGGGTGACAGGCACGAGAACCACAAACTGCACACTTTTCCGGGACTGTTGTCATAGCCACGTCTTCATTATCATCATCAGATTCGTTTTCTATTGCTGCGTAACAGAGTACTACAAAGTAGCTTAGGAAACACACATTTATTATCGCACAGTTTCTGTGGGTCAGGAGTCTGGGCACAGTTTAGCTGGGTCCTGTGTAAGGCTGCCGTGAAGGTCCGAGCCAGGGCTGGGGTCTCATCTGGTGACTCAGCTGGGGAAAGGTCCTCTTCCAAGCTCACTCAGGTTGTTGGTGGAATTCATCTCTTTGCAGTTGGATGACCAGGGTCCTTGGCTTCTTGCTGGCTGTTGACTGGCATTGCTCTCAGCTCCTAGAGTCCACCCGCAGGCCTTTGCCATGTGGCCCCTCCCTAGGCTCTCCCATAGCATGGCAACTTGCTTCTTCAAAGCCAGTGAGGGAAATCGTCTTCAGCACGAGCCTGCTAGCAAGAGAGGGAATCCTATATAATGCAGTGCAATCCTCTGCCATCCATGCCATATTCTGTTGGCTAGAAGCCAGTCACAGGTCTTGCCCATACTAAAGGAGGGGGTCACACAAAGGCATGAACACCATGAGGCAGTGGCCATAGGGGCCACCTTATCACTTGTCCCCCACAATTTCTAACTTCATTTGTGCTTGTCCTTAAATATGTGTCAAATGAACTTCGTTAGAAATTGTATGTAAGTCGGTGGAGAAATAGAAAGAACATTGGGAGTGACAGTGTTCCTGATGGTTT